GAGCCTCCGGAGGAGGGAACCAAAGTTACCCCACTTGATGTGGGCGAGAATGTCGCCCCTGCTAGCAAAAAAGGACCGGGAGCTCTCTCCTTCTCCCGTGAACAAACCTACACACACACACACACACACACACACACACACACACACACACACACACACACGCCAGAGTGGAAGCCTGTGTGTGAGGGGGTGCCTAAGATCTCTGGGCTCGGAATGACCTCCCTACCGAGCCCCGATCTGTCTTCGCCGCCGCGACCGGAGGCCCCGACCCCCCGAAAGCCCCCTCACCCTGCCCGTGCCGGGCGATCTGAATGCGGAAACGGCGCGCGGAGCGCGCCCGGCAGCCCCTCTTCCCTACCTGGGACAGGAGAACGCACAGAACGAGCGGAGTTCTCGGCTGCATTTTGTCCGACTAGAAGCGCCCGGCGGCGTTTTCATTCATGCACGCGGCTGCACTGAGCATATTTTCCGTGGGAGCCAGGCTTTGAGGAGAGGCTCTGCCTCGCCAGCCAGCCAACTTCCCAAATAGATCAGCAGCAGCATCACGAAAGCATTGGGTAGAGGCTGATGACCAGGACCAATGGCTTTACAAGACGGATTCCTTCATAACGCTCCCTCGTTTTGCATGGCAGATACGGGGTGAGCACCTCGCGAGGAGCGAGCCCCGCGGAGGTGGCAGCCCATTTGCTTCTTTGGACTGTTGGGGCTCAGCCTCACAAATCACGCTGGGCAATGCCAGCTGATTCCACTTTTCCAGAGAATGGAATTGCACGGGGGACTGGCGGCCACTTCCAGCCTAGTGCAAAAAGATTCTCTTTATTAAAATGTTAATAAGATCTACTCTATTTCCAATAAATCAAATAAAAAGACCCCAGCAGTTCCAGCCCCTTCTATGCCTGGCAAGCCCTGGCAGTGGATCTTTTTTTTCTTTTTTCCTTTTTTCCCCCCATTGTGGCCCAAGTCATGATGGTGTTTGGTGTTTTCCTGCCATCTCACAAATCACAAAGAGGACAGATCAATTCGAGCTTGCAGAAAAAATTCCATCAAGGGGCAATAGATTTTATTAACTGCTCAGGTGAGAGTCTGACTAGCCACCTACTCCACAAATGTGCATCTGGCACCAAAGCTGGGATCTGGATTGGAGAAAACTTCTTTTTTTATGTATGGATGTTACCTTTCAGAAGCTCTGAACTACCCCCAGGTACTCAGAACAGCGTAGTCACTGCTTAAGGGATTTTATAAACGGGGTGCCTTGGGACTGAGGGTAAGAGGGACATCTAAGTCTGCCTTCCCTAGTAGAAATCTAAGAATATGCAGGGAAGACCTTAATTTATCATTTCCATGCAGCCTTCCTTTAAAAAGAATTTAAGGTGTTTTACATCAAAGGACATTTGTGCAATAGAATTTATGAACCAAAATAGAAAATCTGGGCCAGAAAGAAAAGTTCAGCAAACTGAAATGACAAGCCCAAATTCTAATGTATTTGCTCTGATTTGGATAAGAGCTTCCTGATAGCCAAAGCAATAAAAGAAACATCAGTTACACAGTTTTGTTGTAGAAACATGTAGGCAATGTCTTTCAGCATTATTTTCCATGGGCTAAATACAGGAATAAATGCATTATGTAACATGTAACATAACAGGACACTGAGCAATGGACCATGCCAAGATCCAGTGGACGGGGATGTATTTCTAGCATCTGGCACAGGGCCTGGAACATGGAGATAGCAATTAGTGTGTGTTAAAGAAATAGATGGCTAGACTCAATCAAGATGCAGCAGAAGGTGGGGAGGGGCAAGGAGTCTGGAGCCACATCATCTAGGCACAGCCCCCAGATCTGCCACTTACTCGTAAGTTACTCTGCCTCTATTTGTTCACAGGTAAAATGAAAATACGAATTATACTGAATTCATAAGGTTGTGGTGAGGATTAAGTGACGACATAACCACTGAGTAAATATAAAGCGATGTGCCTTTTCAGATTCCTTCATTGGCTACTGTTTGGTCAGAAGGTTATCTCCTGTGGTCCCAAGGTCATTGATAAAGATGCAGTGATGTCTGAAGCTTGGCTGCTGTAGCCAGCACTGGCCCAACAGATGGCAATGTTGGCAAAACAACCCCCAGATGAAACTGGGAAAGGTGAATCTTGCTGCTTCACCCACTCATTTCCCTGCCTAAATAGGGTCATCTGTCCTGGAGCCTCTAATCAATACAGTCTGACAGATGATGTCACAGATCATGACACTTTGGAATCCATGTGTGTGGAGATCTATCCTCACATCTCCCTCTGGTTTACCAGGGAACTTCGGAGTCAAACAGGCTTCAAATCAAGGCATCCGGAAATATCCAGACTTTTCTCCATTCCAAGGAGGGCATCATCTTGTCATTCAGGGCCAGTTAAACTGAGCCCATGGCTTAGCAATACAAAGATAGCGAAAGAGAGCAGAGGACAGCTTGGGAGGTGATAAACCACCATGAGGAACTAGACCACAGAAGACGAGGATCTAGCTAGGTTTCTATCTGCAGCAGCTCAGTTAAGGGAAGCAGTCCCTCAGAGGAGGGAGTGTCCAAGGCTGCCTTCTAAGGACAGTTCGGTGCTGTGGATTTTATAGTTCTGCTGGCCTTCTGTGGTCTCCCCATTCCCTTGTCCTTAGTGCTGATTACCCTGATTACCAAATATTTCCAATGTTCCCCCTTTTGGGATCATGGTAGGATTGCATTTGCTGGCCCCCTTGTCCGGGGGTGGGGCAGTGTGTGTACATCTAGCCAATGACCCATGTGCAAAAGCACCATGTCCCTTCAAGCCTGGAGCATTTAATTGCCAGTGTCAGACAGATTGGTTTCCCTGGATGTGCTTTTTGCCCCAGTATTTCCCCAAGGAGGGGAAAAGTATTGGGTGAGATAGCTTGGTTTGGCCAAGGGCAATTCTCTGGTTTGTCCTCAAATTCATCAACTATATATAAAAGGAGGCCATTGGCAGTATGACCAGTAATGAGTTTGTGATGCCCAGGCCATGGAAGACCTCATGAGTCTGATGCTACCAATTAAGATGGATGTCATTTGGTGAAAATCCTGCTGATTCTGTCCCCTGCAAAGTCCTGCTCAGGCATTTGCGAAGGTCCCAGGCTTTTGTCCTGGGCTGTTCTACTGGCAGGCAGAGTGGCTCCAGTAAACCTCACCTGATTCCAGGTGGGTGTGCCCAAAAGGCCAGTCTGCATTCCTTTCTTGCCTCAATCCCCACAGACTGGCTTTTCAGGAGTGAGAGGAGTTGACTTCTGGAGTCTCCTTAGGCATTGAGGCTCACTTCTGTAATCCCACAAGGCTCCAAACATGCCGAGCCTACTAGGGTGGAAAAAGATTTGTCAGAAAGATAAGACCTGAATTGAGATCTTCAGATTCCACCTACATGAGGCAAGTCACTTTTGTACCCTAAGACTCAGTTTGTTATCAATAAAATGGGAATAATAACATGATAACACTCCTAGGACTATTGTAAATATTGATGTTTCTCTTCCCCTCTATCATCTATTCCTCTCAACTTTCAGAGAATGTGCATTTCACCAAACAACAAGAGATCATACTTTGTCCAACAAAAACAGAAGAAAAATTATTTCATTCCAATGATAAAAGGCTTCTGAAGAAGAAATCCGTTCTTCTTTGTTTTGCTTTGCTTTTTATTTAGTTCCCTAATAGGGGTTTTTTGGCTGATGAATTGATTGATGTGGCAAATAAATACTAAAGCTGAACCCTACATATCCCCACTCTGCCGCCTACCCTGTATCACCCCCCGACTAAGCCCCAGCTGCTGTAGCATCTGTGGGCTCCTCGAGAAGCTGTGTCTGCCTTTAGACACATTCGAGGTTCACACCCCTTTTCCAGACGCATCAGCCTAGCTTGGCACTGAAGGAATAATCCAACAGCCAGCAGCTGCCTCCTGTGGGTGCCAAGGGTTGAGCTTGTTTCCTGTCCTTGGCTGATGTTGATGAAGGCATTCCACAGTGGGTGGATGTGGCTGTATGAATGTGTGCATGTTTCTGTGTGTATACGTACAAGCACATGGGTGTGTGTGTGCAGGGGGAGGGGGTGACTGGCTTATAGTCCAGCAGAGATAATGTATTCGAATTTTGTTATGCTTTCAATGTGCTGCTATGATGAGGCATTTGTATAGAGCGGGGTTAATCCAGCTAGAAGCCCTTATGCAACAACGCAGCGATTAGGCGTGTCTGGGGACCTGGATAACTGGGATCTACTTGGACAGCATGCAGGGAAGACCGTATCACACAGCACTACAACATACCTTCATGCTAATGTCTCACCCCCTACAATGGGAACGCCTGCTAAAAACACCCAAGATTAGGACAACGCACCATCCTACAACAAGTCTCCCTGGCTACCAAAGTGCTGACCAAAAGTAGCATTCCTGATCACTCTTAAGCCACAAACACTGCTTCATGTTTCTTCCCGGCCCCTGCATTACTTGACCTTCTGCTACGCATTGTTGCGTGCATTATCAACTCAATCCTTCACTCCAGCCTGCATCTGTGCCCTTTGCCCCTTGGCCTTGGGTTTAGCTATGTGACTTCTGTGACAAATTAAATGAAGCAGAAGGGATGAGGTGCCAGTTATAAGCTCAGGTCCCAAGAGACCCCCTGTGTTTTAGCTTGCTCTAGCAAAAGCTCCTACTGATGTCTTGAAAAGAGCATTTGTGGGCTATCCCACTGGTCCTAGGAGGAAAGATGAGCCCCTCATGGGCCCACAGATGCTTGAACAAGCCCAGCGGAATCTGCCCAGCTCAGCTGATTGCCAGGTATGTGACCTGAAAAAAACAATTGCTTTACATTTTGAGGTGATTTGTTTTGTAGCAATAATTAATGAGTGATTACATCTGTTGGCTTGCTGTCTGTCTCTTCCTCTGGAATATAAGCTCATTTCGGTATTTTTACTGCTGTATGCTCAGAACAAGGTCTGGAGCATGGCAGGTGCTTAGAAGACTTGGTCTGAGTGGGTAAATTAAGTGGCTTTTGTGTTGAAAAATGTGTGATGCTGAGAGGCCCATCACATGTAGCTCCCTACGATGCAAGGTCTTCTCGCAATAGTCCAGACCAGGACTAGACACAGTGAAGAACATGTGTGAGCCTGTGGGTGTCTGAAGATCTTTTGTGGAGGACACATAGGGTGTGATATCCTTCTGAATTTCCTCGATGTAGGCAGAGCCCACACATCTAAGAATAAGACAAAAAAATACTCCTTCATCTTTTTAGGTTCTGCCCTAATACAGTGTCCTCTGTGATATGTTTAATAAAAGCATAACTTCCACACTAGCAATGGAGATGAAACCAGGGGTGACTTTTAGGCCATCTCAGTTAAATTGGACCAATTGTCTTTAGTGCTTCAGTCCCTCATGAGAAGCAAAACTGGGCATTCAGACACTAATTTTTATTTTCTGAACAAGAAGCAGTTAAAACCCCCCTCTAGGTGTCTCCCTTACCCAAAATTAGTGCCTGGGGTTATTTTTACACAGAGAATCATCTCA